AAAAAAAAAAAAAAAAGAATGAGATTGTTACAAGTTGTAACAAGTTGTAACAATTGTGAGATTAAGAATGGATTAATTGTTACAACCAAGTTACAACCAAGTTGTAACAATTCAAGTAAAAATTTAGAAAAACAACACTCTCACGGAAGACACAGTGATAGAGAAAATAGACTGCACTTAACATATGTTAAAAAATACAATGGGTACATCTGGGCAGCCTAATAACTTCCCAGTAGACATCTAGTGTAACTTTAGTATCTTTCCGTTTTATAGAATGCCATGTTACCACAAGCAGAATGTATAGTAGGAGAAGTTTGGCTGAAGAGAGGCATCATGATTTCAAAAACCTGGTTTAAAGTCCATTAATAATGGAAAATGATCTTGAATATTAAATCTGAGAAAAATGCAAAGGTTATCAAATGATTGGTATAACAAGTAATTCATATAATTTGAAAGTAGAATTTAGTGTGATACCTTATTACACTTATTAAATTTTGAACATCTACGAATATACTAAAAAGGAAATTACTCCCTTCTAGACTCTTTAAAAAGTGCTGTGAAGATAACAAGGTACAATAAGTCAGAAGTCATGGATCTTGCCTTGAGGGATAATACAAAGGAACAGATTGCCAGAACTGAAGTGGAGAGATTTGGTCCAGGTATTGAAGAAGTCATTCAGGGAACTTGTGTTTTGAGTGTACATGGCTGCTCATTTAATAATCATGTTGATAAAATGAAACATAAAATGAAACATACTGTGTATGCAAATGATTTGCTGCTTACCATTAACGATAACAATGATATCACGAAAGTCAATTTCTCCCCTGGCTTCCACTCTTCCTTCACACCTGTATATGCCTTCATCACTTTTATTGATGTTGAGAATCTGCAGATTATTGTTTGCTAACATAGCGAACCGATCTGGAAAGTAAGCAAAGGGGAGAAAATGATATCAGTAATTGAAGCCTGAGGCCAGGGCGCTCTAAATTGCTAGAAGTTAAAATATGGCACTGTCTGACACTATCAAACTTTTCATCAGCAAACAAATTCAAATTTGAAAGTAAAATGTAATTTCATGACTTCAGTTTTTCCACTCCACACTGCTTTGTTATACCTTTTTTTCCCCCTAAAATATATTGAAGACTTTATATCCACATAAAAATGTTTAGGCTGTTATTTTCCCCTTGGTACTGTGCATGCAGAAATGACACATAAAAGAACAATGCAAAGAGATTAGTTACTGCAGACAGGAAAACTTGCGACTGCAAATATGTAGCAACTTGGGTTAGAAAAGGGTTAGAAAAATTATTAACTATTCTTCCTCACACAATAATTAAACTAATAATTTTTCATATCCTGAGGAGACAAATAAATGACACAATAACATTCAAGTCACATAAAGGACATAAAAATCATTATATTTCAAATTTACTGAAAGGATTTTGGGGGGCACTAATTAGATACATCTATTTTAGGACTAAATTGAATAAGCTTCTTTAATTTTACTTAAATATTGTTTTATGTGTATGTGTGTGTGTTTGCACATGCATGCCTGCAAAACAAACCTGGTATAGAATGTGCATTAAATTATTTCTTAAAGTAATATGCTAAAATATTCTGAGATGGCTAAGCAGCATCTCAGTCTTATGTGTTTGGCCTCAGTTTATAATCATCATTATTTTGTTTTAGTGCTAAAACTTTTTCTCTTATCATTTAATGAAGGTTTTCACACCTAAACCTATTTTGAAATAAGGTTTAAAGGCAAAAATCTTAAATTTAGTTAATTATGAAAAATTTATGAGATCAATGAAAATTGATCTCATTAACACAGCATTGATCTCATTGACCATCGTCCATTTGGTAGATACTTTATTTGAGTGACATCAATGAATATACCTCCATCTCTTCGGGGACATTTATACTCAGGTATAAATGATGGTATTTTGAGGTGTATTGTCCTTAAGATATCTGCAGTCTGTAAGTTACTCTCTGAACCTATCAATGTTTCCCACTCTTCTCCTTTCTGCTGGCTTGATGGAGAGGTTAGGAATACCATTGAATTCTCATGTGGAAAAGGAGAGCCTCCATAGGCTTGGATCACTGAGTGGTCCTGTGAGACAGAATCCTGCTTTTACCCTTGCTGCCAATTGGAATTTCCATGAGTAACAAACTATGGTAGTAAGCCACGAGGATTCTAGGGTTACTCTGCTTTGTAAATTCGTTGATGGGAAGGGAAAAATTTGGGCTTGACATTACAAAAGAGATATCAGGCTCTAGACATCCATTAAAACAAGCAAGCAGGTGTTTATCTGTTATGTAATAGATAACTAAAAGAGAGTGAAAGTTGGCAGCTTCAGGGGCCCTCACAGAGAAAATCCAATCACAGATCTATAGCCATATGATTTTCAACTCAGGAGTATGAATTTTTTGTAATGTTCATTTCTTCTCTTTCCTGGCCCTAAGAAGAGAGACTAAAAAATTTTTATGTAGATCCTTTTCTTCAGGTAAATTAAAGAACAAATATGAAATTTTCTCACCAAAGGAAAGAATGAGGGTTAAAAATATACCTATGAAATTTCAAACTGTAACTCACAGGTAGTCCTGGAATAACTTAGAGGTCCTAGGAATTCATGTTTCAAAGTTTAATAAAAGAACCTCTTGGGCAGTGCCTGTGGCTCAAAAGGGTAGAGCACTGGTCCCATATGCCGGAGGTGGTGGGTTCAAACCCAGCCCCGGCCAAAAACTTCAAAAAAAAATAAAATAGAAATAAAAAAAAAATCTTCTTGTCTTGGCTCCCATAGCACAGAGGTTAAGGTGCCAGCCACATGCACTGAGGGTGGCAGGTTCGAACCCAGCCTGGGCCAGCTAAACAGCAATGACAACTGCAACAACAAAAAAAACCAGCCAGGCATTGTGGTGGGTGCCTGTAGTCCTGGCTACTTGGGAGGCTGAGGCAAGAGAATCGCTTGAGTCCAAGAGTTTAAGGTTGCTGTGAGCTGTGATGCCACAGCACTCTACCAAGAGTGACATAGTAAAACTCCATCTTGACAACAACAAAAAAGATCCTCTGTTTAAGTGTGTGGCAGAAAATTAAAATGAGAAGGAATTATAAATAAAAAAAGATGGGGCAGTGCCTGTGGCTCACAAGCTCAGGGTGCTGGCTCCATATGCTAAAGGTGCTGGTTCAAACCCAACCCTGGCCAAAAAAAAATCCAAAAAACAAAAAATGTTAAAAATTAGAAGAGACACACTTAAACATACTTAGATCATTATAATATTACATTTTCTGACTTGTTAAAATACATATAATCTTTCAGCTATAATATCCTTAGTGGTTACATCTTATTTGAATTAGAAAAAATAATACAGGGAAGCATTTTAATCAGGCAAGCACTTCTTGATATAAAAGAGAAATCATTATAATTGCCTAATACAGAGTTTTGATGGGAACAAAGTGGCATATTTTCTAACTGAATGTTTTATTTCAAATGGTCATTTTAATGCATTATATCTATTGTGCGAAAACCAACAGTGCATTGGGAACGCAGTAACTACTTGCTCAGTCTAAACGCGTGCCATTATGTGTATTTATGTGTACAAAGATTTCTTTCCACACAGAAATCAAATTATATAAAAATTAGCTGTCAAATACCAAATGTGTGTATAAATCCCAGGGACTGTTGTTAGCAAAATATCCAAAAACAGCGTATCACTAATATACCCGTCCAGAAAACACCTGAAGAAAGCTCTGCTTCAGCCAGCCCCACATTACAGATTCTCTGTTTTTCTTAGTTGTGCAGAAAACCAGTTTCGTGATCAAAGTGAGAAAAATTAAACGGAATAGAATAACACTCAATAAGGTGCCTGCTCTAAGCTTCTTTAACTTAGTTATTTCCAAGTCCTTTTTTCCCCTTATTCTACACCTGGTCAATTTTGGCTCATCTGCCCTCGTAACGTCATTTACTATCATCTAGATCTTAATGACTCACAATTTTTCTTTAGACCAGATCATGCCAGGGAGTTCCATTTCTGTTTAAAAGAATACCAGATGTCCCTACTAAGAAGGGTTGTAATTACTTCAACATCAGTGTGTTGAAAATTTAGTTCATTATCTCCACCTGAAATTTCTCCTCCGGCATTCTCCAGTTTTGTATTCAGGTGCCTTAGGTGGAATGCGTTGCTGAGGAAAATGACGGAAGTTATAGAACTCTGTGTGCAAAGCATATTCCATGAGTCACCCCTGCCATCTTCATCTCCCTCATTCTCCAGAACCAGTCAAACCCCAGGTCCTGTCTTTTCCCTCTATCCTTACTCAATCTAAGTCTTCTCCCTCAGCAACTAATCTGAGGGAGGATCTGCACACTTTTCATTGTCTAAAGTTTTGCTTTGCCTCCCATCCAATTCATTCTCTTTATTAACATACTTATCACCTTCTCCAGTGTGTATTAGGTGAGGTCACTGCCTTGATTAAAACCCTTCAAATGATTCTCCCTTTTGAATAAATGCCAAACTCTTTAGCAGATGCCAAGGACCTATTTCTTTCTTTTTCAGCTTCCTTTCTTATTAATCTACCCACTAGTGTAAGCATTTGAATCGTACTTATCCATCATCTCTACTTACAGTACACTTATTCCAGTTTCTGGAATGTGCCTTCCATAGTATATTTCGTCTCCAGGCCATTGCACAGGATGTTCTCTCTTCCTACAAAATCTCCACCACCCTTTCCTTGACTAATCTTCCTTTCTATTTATTTAAATAGAAATTTATTTTATGTTTTACCTTACAAATGAAAACAATGCAGCCTAATCACAAGTATCCTTATATTAACTCTAAATTTTAAAAAAAGGAAAAAAGGGGAGGATAATAAACCATTATTTTCCATGATAAAATAAACTTTGGTTAATAAAAAACAAAGGCATTTTTTTTCCCTCCTGACAGGCATCTTTGACACTATCTCGGCTAACTGGCTCAGGTATTCTTTCTTTAATATACTCTGCTTACTATACTTCCTTACCATAGAATCAAGGATTTTGTTTTCACTGACTTATATATCAGGGATATTTCTTTCTAGACCATTAGTAATTTGAAAGTAATATGCCTATTTATTTTGTTAACCATAAATTACCAACATCTAACATACTAGGTATTCAATAACTGTTTAATGACTCTTTTATACGAATAATAGATTACATTAAAATTCTGTTGAACCAGGTAATTTCATCTGTAGCTCACTTTAAGGTTTGGACAAAAATCATACATTTTTGCTCTTTTACTTTTGTATTTTTAATTTGGCACTGAATCAAGCATTAATGAAGTTAACTTAGCAAACAGCATATCCTTCCATTAGGATATTCAATTTTTTTTTTGCAGTTTTTGGCCAGGGCTGGGTTTGAACCTGCCATCTCTGCAATATGGGACCAGTGCCCTACTCCTTTGAGCCACAGATGCTACCCAGGATATTCAATTTTTATTACTAAATGTCAGCTTTACTCCTTAAATGCTTGGATAAACATGGAAAATCTCCATTTATTTTCTGTATGAATTGTAATTCTGAATACCTGCCGCACAACTGTCATCAAAAGCATAGCTAAAAAGATGAGTATTTCCAAGCCTTTCCTATTTCATACAGAACTTCTAAACTTTACTTTCATATCACAATAAGACAACAGAAAGTTATTAGAATCCATGACATTATTCTAAATGCCCACAACATTCCTTTGATAGTTTTAAACCTAACATTATGCCATTAGCCTTACGAAGGAAGGTGTAATACTATGAAAAATATTACTTTTGGCATATCCATTATAAATACAAAAAAAGTTTGAAAATATCTACATGGCAATTTCCTCCAAAATTTCAAGGTCAGAAAAGTGTATCCTTCTTCAGAATTCACTTGAATACCTTAAATACTATAGCAAAATAAATAATTAATTAATTACTATTTTATTTCCTTTTTAAAAAAATTATTTGCCTGCCATTCAACTTGGTGTAATATTTTATATTAAACTATAATCACTTTCTCCACACTGGATTTTCTGGTTCTAGATATAACGTGAATGCATATCATTTTGATGAATCTGATTTCAAAATTTAAAAACTCAATAAAAAGAAATGAGAATGATAAGTGTCATTTACTGAGAACCTGACATATAGCCAAATGTTTTATTCATTCACTTAACAAACTACAGCTGTTCCTCCGTATCTGTGAGTTACTCATTCTTGGATTCAAACAACGGCTGATGAAAAATACTTTCTACAAATTTTGCATTTGTATTGAACTTGTGGTACATTTTTATGCCGTCATTATTCCCTAAACAATACCATATAACAACTATTTCCATAAATTCACATTATATTAGGGTATTTTAAGTAAGTTAGAGATGATTTAGAGTCTACTGGAGTATCTGCACAACTTCTAAGTAAATCCTATGCTATTTTATATCTGGGACTCTGCAGATATTGGTATTTGGTATTGTAGGTGGGCCTAGAACCAATCCCCATGGGCACTGAGGGTCACGTGTCTCATCTACTATTTATTACTTGAAATCAGTGTGTCAAATTAATGTAATAATCTATTGTATGCAGATGAAGAGTCTGATTTAGGTACAGAACACTTAGAAAAGTTGTTCAAAGTCAAGGCCAAGGAACGGAGTAAAGCCAAAGTAGACCTTCAGCCTTCCACCATTCCATCCTGGGATCCCTAAACAACATGCACAAGTGCAGTGTGGGAGCCTCACTGCTCCATCGCCACCACACTTGACCGCCAATCTCTGCTTGGAAGCTTTTGTTCTAGACATTTCAAAACCTTCTTGTAATTACGCTTTATAATAGACCAGATATATACTTGCAGCTTAAGATTTGACCATGTGAAAACGTTCAGACATTGCCATTTTCCTGCTATAAAATAAATAGTTTCTTTATTATTGAGAGGGAGAGAGCTGAAACATTCATAGGATTCTGATTAATAAAAATTAGAGTTATACTAAAATAAAGCAAGAGGAAGGAAAGTGTGGTTTCTCATTAACTTATTATAATAGAAACAGTTTTAGTCGACAACGGACATGGAATGGATATGCCAGATAAGAAATGCATTCTCAACATTTAAAAAATGACTATTGAACATGATTATGATACATTATTCCTTCATGTTCAAAAATAGAAACTCTCGTATTTATCTCCTTTATATTGTAGAAGTTCCATCCCGTGAACACAAAACAGAATCATCTATGATGGAAAGTTTTTTAAAGATTCAATTACTTTGTACCTCTCTGCAGTGCAGGTGCATTGAAAAATACCCTAAATTGAAAATGCTCCCTATGCACAATGGTAACAGAGTATAATGCAAGCAAATTATGCTTTCAATTTCAGATGTCACATTATTCTGAAATTTTAGCTCAGTTGAAATCAAAATCATGGAGACAATTTGAATGAATGTATGTACTTTTTTGTCTATAATATATATGTAACTTCCTATAACATTTACTGAATGTACACGTCTTTAAAAGAATGGCCCCAGGATAACAAAGAGTAACTCATGCAGATATTGTTTTAAATTTACATAGACTGAGAACATGGGATCATGTATAAATTATATAATAGAAAATCTGAATGCCGTAGCATTTCTTCCTTTATTTACTTACTGTTGCTAATAAGTATTCATTTTTTTCTGAAATTAAAGCAAGGGTCAGAAAATTTTCTGGAAATCTCCAGATATTAACTACAGTAGACTTTGTGGGCCAAACCATCTGTGTCATAGTTGTTCATTTCTGCCCCCAAAACAGCTGTAAACAATATGTAACAATTAAGTGTGGCTGTATTCTGATTACAACTTACAAAAAAAAATGGGGTAGAAGGGCTAAATTTGGCCTGGGATGCGATAGTATTTTACTTTGCCAAACCCGAGTCTAGAGGTTTAAGGCTCTCAAAATAGTTGTTTGATGTTTGGGGTCATAAATTCCAGTTTCTATGATCCTCCACATAGATTCAGTATATTTTTTAAATTGCATTATTATTAGAACGTATAACTTAGGGAGTTACCAAAATACTAACTGTCGGAAATAGCGGTGACTTCCTCATTATGATACAGCCAGCTGACAGCAGGTGCAGGGGAACTGCTAACTCGGCAGACAACTTCTGCATCTTCTCCTTGTTTGAATTCTTGTGGAGATACCACTTCTCTGAAAGTGAGTTTTTCTGTATCAAGAGAGTACAACAAATTATGAGGTAGTATTTCTTATTTCTCCATTTAATATATATTCTAGATTTTCTAGATATTCTAGTTTATTGATGCTATATTATAATTAGCAAAATCAAGATACTAAAAATTTTAAGGTAGAATCTAATGTCCCCACCCCAAAACTTCCCATCTCACTAAGAAAAAAACTCAAAGATTTTCCAGTGTCATCCTAGGTCTTATATAAATCAGAGTTCATCCTACAACTCCTATTGCAATTTCTCGCTCTCTTTTTAGTCTTTGTGATCTGGGCAAATTGTGTTTTTTGACGTCGATTGAACATTCTCTATTTGTTCTCATCCTGGGCACTTATATTCCCTTCAATTCATTCAGATTTTTTTCTTCCCACTCCCTTATATCTCTTTGCATTTCAACATTCCTTATCTCTCTACTCTCATTTAATTTCTTTTCCATAAAATTCCATAACATGTGCATCTAGCATCTGGAGGTCTTGGGGTATTTATGCTTGAGGAGAAATTTTCACAAAAGTAATGCCTTCTTGCAAAACAATTTTTTTTTTTAACCTTCACAAATAAATGTCAGGGCTCTTGCTTTGCAGTAATGATCTTCCTTTTATAGTAGTGAAGCCCAGACTGTTTCTAGGAATGAAAATTTCATTACCATAAAACTCAGCCATTTAATAAAATAACTTTCCCAACACTGTCTTTAATTGTTTGCTATTGTGAAAAAGATACTGTAGGGATAACATAAATTAAGAAAATTCTCCATGAGAAACTTAGACTCTAATAGGAACAAAAGGCTAAAGTAAGAAAACAAAACTAAGCAAAGACTGGGCAATGATAAGCCAAGAAACTGCCCTGGTCATCCAACAGGAAGTCCTACTGTGGAAACGTTGTGACTTGGCTTTTCATATCCTATTTCTACATTAATGTTTAAAAAGCTATAAGCCTGAGGTGGCCTAAGAGCTTGTATTCCAAAATACATACATTATGTTTTCCCTGTGGCTATAAACCTGTATATTATTTAACTAAGAAAGTTGTTTCCATGTCTATGTTTGTAGCCACCTACTCCCTACTATCAATTCTAAGATACACTGCAGGAGAACATAAATGACCTGACGATTACAAAAGTCTTAGATCACGGTATAACACAAAGATTTTAAGGAGTGTTAGTTTTACATTATTCAAGCCATGGATATACTAAAAGCCCAGACTTCATTGCTATAAAATTCATCCATTAAAAAACAAAAACAAATATAAAAACACAGACCTTGTACTCCTAAATCTATTGAAACTTTAAAAATATAATTATAAATAAGAAATCATAAAAATACATTTTGTTTGGATTCTTTATAAGCAGCTACAATTTCAATCAAGGAAAACTTAGAAACAGGTGACTTACGGTAAATTTCCAAGACTACCGTCGCTTCCTGCGTCTGTCCTTTGGCATCTGTGGCTTGGCAGCGATAGATCCCTGCGTCTTCTATATTTGCGTTGTAGATGGTTAATCGTGATCTCACACCTTCCTTTTGCACCACTACCCTCTGTGTTGAAATTATCTTCTCTCCTTGAGGATTGTACCAGTCTATACTCTCAGGTTCACCAATTGCTGCAGAGAACCATGGAGGAGGAAAGTTTGAAAATACGTTTTTAAGGCTTGTTTTGGCACTGACATTTACTATTCTGTAACAATTCTAGCAACTGAGAAACAAAAGCAAGTAAAAGACTAGAAATCTGAAGATCTTAGAAAACAGAAAGTAAACACAAATGGTAGCACAAATGCTCACATTGTGTTTATCCAACACTGAGGATTCAATCTCATTTGAGTAAGTAAAACCCAAACGCTCCCTAGGAAATGTCCTGCACAATATACAATCTGTGATAGTTGAAACTACACCTTGAAAATCTATAGATGATAAGACTTCAGCATTTAAGTGCTGAAACTGCCTTAACTAATGAGTTAGACATAAACCACATAAGCCCCAGTGATAATATCTGAACAGAAATATGATTACTACTATGACATTACTTGTTCTTGTATCTTCGCTAGGGTCAGGACACAGCACTTTTGTCTCTACTAGTGCAGAACTAACAAAAAATGTAAATCTCTTACAAAACAAACTCTGGCCTTTGATAATACTAAATTTTGAATTAATTTCCCAAGTGGCTAAACTTGTGTAGATAAACCAATGACCACTTTTAAACTGAAGTCCTAATCTCTTTTCCCAACTGAAATGAGTAGTTTCATGATTTTAATCTAAAACTGTTAACTATTTAATCATATGATACTTAGAATGCATTGAAATGATACTTATACTGCTAGGTAATTGCAACCAAATTATTACAGGGTAAACATTTATTTAAGTTTTCCAATTCAGAATCTAGGTGATTATCCTCTTCTTAAAAGCTGAAGCTTTCGTGTTTGCTTTTAGTCACCAAAAAGATGTATTTCACCTAATTACTTGAGAGATCATTTGTGGAAGCAGCATACACTATTAACTCAAAAGTATGGGAGAAAATGCATGAAGTTAACTAACATCTGCAGGACCTCTTTCAAGAAAATTATTCCATCTCATTTTTTTCTAAGAAATGGTTTTAGAAACAAATTAGCCTTTCTATAACAAATTACAGATGCTTGAGCAAAAGTATGAAAGAAAGTTTAGTGCATCTCATCTTAAATGGATCTTAGCTATGTTATCATTGGTTTTTCTGAACAAATTATAAAACCATGGGTGGTTACAGGATAATGCATTCAAAGCTTGGGATTTATTTTAATTCCTTTTTCTACATAGAAATAACAAAAGAATAATTTAAATAAGCATCACTATAAATCTAAACAATATAAAAATCTCATTTTACACAGTAAATTAAATATGATATTCTGATAGTTTTCACATTTTAATTATTAACATGATAGAAACTTCATTATCGTGGAGAGTTTATTCAAGATTTTCATGAAGCAGTCAGAAATCACTCTTTCCTGGGATAGCTAGCAAATAAATTCCATCAAAACTTTCCATATTTGTTTGTTTGTTTGTTTGTTTGTTTTTTGTAGGAAAGGTTTTTATTGGTGGGGGGAGGGAGGCTGCAGAGTAGCACCAAGGAGGAGAGAAAAGAGGGGAGAGAGATAAGGAGAGAGTGGGGAAGAGAAGAGAGAGAGAGTAGAGAAGAGTGAGGGGGAAGACGGGAGAGACAGAAGGAAGGCAGAGGGAGGTGAGAGAGAGAGAGCCCATATTTGTAGGACTAGACTATTGTACAAAGTACGAAGTCTGCCCAGAGTCTTCTTCAAAGTTGCAATGCATAGTAAAAATAGAAAATTATAGCTAAATTTTCCTTTATTTATAAAGTATTTGTTACAAAATATTTCCAGATATTCTCCTCTAGGTGCTGGCCACCTCTTTGTAAATTTCAGTAATGACTGTTGTAAATAAATGTACATGTAGCTACAATTTCTTATGCATGGTGACTTTAGCGATGACTTCTGGTCCATCCAGTATTTATAAATACTAGTAAGCTTTTCATTTTTGTAACTTTGTTATAAATTGTATTTACTATATATGACACACTATTTCAAACTCTCTAGGGGTGTAAATATCTTCAGGTTTACTTCTAAAACAAATTCATTTTATTGAGTTTATGTTTATAAGGTATCTAGAAATTTTAGAGTCATCTATATAGTTACCATTATAGTAGGAAAAAATACGTTCTGATGTTTGAATTTCATAGTTTTGTCACATCTTTTTCTTTAGAATTTTGTTTTTCTACTATATTCAGTGTAAACAAGACCATTTCCATTATTACAGTACAATTCTTGGTGACACATCTTTGTATAAAAGAAAAAAATGTTTATTTAAATGTTATTAATTCACACTTGGAAATTGCACCTTAATTTGACCTGTCTAATATGTAGAGACAATTGTATTGTGTACTATATGCCTTACTAATATGTATACATAAAGGTAATATATTTTCATTTTATTTCAAAAATTCATTTTAGCTATTTTATTATTGTGTCATTATATCATGCAATTGAAAGTATATACATGTGTGATGCATTTACATAGATAAAAAATAGATAAGATTTAGAAACAGTGATCGATATTCTTTGGCCAATGCTCTTCTGACATAGTAGGTGATGTCAGATCAATAACAAATCTGTCATCTACTCTCTGATTCTTCATTCATCAGTATAATAAAAATGTATGAACAGACCTATACATTCAAATTATTAGGAAGGTAAAGGTATGATGAAATCATGGGCTCTATTAGTGTTTAATAATATGAGATATTTTAGCATTTCTACACATACACTATGAATACTATTAGTACGTATGTTATCATAACTATGTTTCTTTCTTTTATGTATTTTTCAAAGATGGGTACTCACTATGTTGTCCAGGCTGGAGTTCAGTGGCTGTTCACAGCTGAGATCATGGTGCACTGCAGGCTCAATCTCCCTGGCTCAAGCAGTTACATCCTGAGTAGCTGGGACTACAGGTGTCACTACCTTTTTCTAATTGTAATAATTTTCATAATAATTTAAATAAGCCTTGTCATTCTCAAGACACCTTTTATAATGAATTTTATGTCACAAATGCCTATTCTTATCTACTTTGCAGTTGCTATAGTATAGTCAGGAAACAAACAGTTCTAAAACAATTTCATAATGAATTTAGGTACTAAAGGAATATTTTTGAAAACTTTAGGTATAAAGATTTATATTTACATAAACTGAATATGATGAATCTAAATAGATGTAGTATGTGTTCATTAGTTCTTCACTACATTGAATTAGAACTTGATGCTAAAGTACTTGTATTTAAATGTCTTCTGAAAAACTTCTGAATGTACATAATGAATGAATTCTTTATTATTTTCCCTATGCATCATGATATATGATACTTACTACTAGTGAAAATCTTGTAAAACATTTTCTGTTTAAATATCTACTTTTTAAATAAATTCTACTTTTTAAAATATTTTCTCCTAAAATTTTCATCCAAGTGTAACTGCAATACAATTTGCCATATATAATTTATTCACTTCATATTTATAGAGATGGTTCAGTTGCATTATTTACATTTATTCTAATATTACTATTTAGACAGTAATAGCATTTAGATTCCTTTACAATTTATGTACATTATATTTGATATAAGTAAATATCTACTTTGGAAGCAAAATAAATAAATTGAAATTAATAATGTTAGAGCTCATAGTGTTTAATATGCAAAATGTGATTATTAACACTTTCCAATCACTGTAAGCCCAATAAGAAGATGGTAATATTAGAGAACTGAATTTTTAAATATTTAATTTAGCCAATATATTTTATTTAGTAATTGAAGCAGAAAACAGGTTACCTGAAAATCATTATGAAATGCATACCTGTACATGTGAAGAATTTAGATTCTCCCACACTAAGCTCTACTTTGCTGAGTGAAATTGTCACTTGAAGAAGAGCTGGAAAAAAATAGAAATGGTTAATTATGGTTTTAAACATGATTTCTAAGATTTTAAGAGACATCTAAACCACATGTTGGAAGCAGCACTTTTTCTGCAAAGTTTTATTTGCAGAAAAATGAAAGGTTGGTAAATTATACTCCAAAATTATATCTGTTACATTATTATGCTTTAAAACAACAAAATACAGCACATAGTCAAGCTAATATGCTGAAAGCTAATATTCTGTTAGTCAAGAAAATAATGAAAATTATACTCAGACATCTCTTTCTTGCTCACAGGCTAAGCCTTGTATTAGATTGAGTAATAGGGAAATGTTTTTTGAAAGCTGAAAATTTTAAAATCTAAGTCATCTACTGTAATGATAACAATAATATCTGTATATTTATCTCTCTATGTATACTATTAACATTTTGACAAGGTACTCAAATATTTCCATAAGGAAAGGTTTATCATTGCCTAGAGAAGGGTCAAGGAGCATTGATTTTCATATGATCAATCAGTAAAGTAAAGGAACCAAGACAGTAGCAATAAAATAGATGGGTTACTCCATAGTTTAAATGCTTGTGGTAAAAATTGAAGTAAAATAGTTTAATTTTCTAGAATTTTAGAAGATAATGCAAATGCCATTTTAAAATGAATAAACAGGTATTTTTGTATTAATATGCTGTCTGATCTGTACAATATAGTGTGTCCACTTCTGAAATCAACTCCACCAGCCTTTGCTCTCAGAAATACATAGTTGAGAATTCAGTAAAAGTAATGATGGTGCAAGTGATAAATGGAAAAAAAGCCAAAAGGCTTATATAAGTGACATGAACTATACAGAGACAGCATCCGAGCTTGTCCAGAATAACAGGGTGCTAAATTACACTAGGTAACACTGACCAGGATAATATTGACCCTCAAAGGCAGGTATAGAATCAACCAACCCACTGGGAATGGGAGATGACAAAGGAGACTTGCCTTCCTTGAGTTGGGTCAGGGGAAAAATGTTTCTCCTTAGATTAACCATATTCTAGATTTTGGATTTCATTTATAAACATGGGTCCTTTGGAAAACCCCACCCTTAGAAACTAAAATAAAAATTCTGCCATATCTTAGATTTTGGATTTTATTTATAGAATAAATAAATATCTTAGATTTTGGATTTTATTTATAAACATGGGTCCTTTGGAAAACCCCACCCTTAGAAACTAAAATAAAAATTAGTCTCACACATAGGGCTCACAGATAAGTGGGAAAAAAAATCCTGAAAACAGATTGTCTAAGAATTTTATAAATGAAGCTTACTTTAATCTAAATCCACATTCTTTTATTTTTTTAATAAACATTTGAAATTTTATTTTAAAAAAATCACAACCCTGAATATTGTTGCAGTTAGAGGCCCTCTTGGCTCTCTACAATGATACTGAGCATGCTCACAAGGGGTTTAAAGCTGTGTTCTAACACTAAAAATTACATCTTGAATTCTGGGAAGATGGCTGACTGATAGCCACCCTCCACAGAGGCTTCTGAGCAGAGGAAGAAAAACTAAATAGAATCGAACTCTATAAAGCCAAAGACAGGGAGTTGAGTCAAGAAAGAAGTTTGGCAAGCTGTAACTCCAAAAAAGACAAGGAAGAGCATTCAAGCAAACAAATTACAGGTACAAAGCCACTAGAGGATTGGAAACCCCTCCCCCAAGCAGAGGGCCTGCTACAGGCTATCTGCAAATGAGCAGGGAACAAAAGACCTCTCATTTTACCTCACTAGAGAGAGCCGCTAAAGGCTCTCTCCAGGTCTCTTTCTTTAGGGAGGTCCCACTTACGAACCTAGACACCACCCTGCCAGGCATAAAATTGAACAGATATTTTCCCCACAAGTCCAAATTCCCAGTTCACCCTTTCCCCCTCACATGGCAGCCTGAAGTTCTGCCCTTTGAAGAGCACAGAGTGTTTGGCTTGTCCTGAGAGAACTGGGCATATTGTGGACCATCAACCATCAGGACAGAATCTGGAAAGAAAGAGGGTGTGGGAAGAAAGGAACACTCAGAGGGAAGAGGAGCAGTCCCCTGGTTATGATTATGCCTGGCCAGTAGTAGTGTTGACCCTCAGTTAAGGCTGTGTCTGGCGGGACAGGGTGTAGAACCCCCAGTTCTGACATCACCCACCGTGGGAGAGTGGTTGCCCCATGTGGACTGAGTTCGGCAGACAGGGCTGGTCCCTCTGGGCCTGTGAGCAGAGGCTTGATAGGTGTGGACTGAGACCTGAGAGCAAGGGCGTAGTCCTCTGATTCCAACAGAACCCTTCAACAATGGCTTACTGGATGTGAATCAAGACCTGAGGGCTAGGGTATGGTCCACTGTCTCCAACTGGTCTGGCAAGCAGAGGCTAGCTGTGTGTGGACTGATACTGGAGGGTGGGGCTGGTGCCCTGACTCCAACAGAGCCTGCAAACAGAGGCTTGCCAGGTAGTGGACTGAGGCTGGCAGGTGGAGGTGTGGTCTCCTGATTCCAACTGGTCTGGCAAGCTAAGGCTAGCTGGATGTGGACTGAGACCAGTGGGTGGGGGCGCGACTGCTGACTCCAGCTTGGCCTGTGGGCAGAGAAGCAGACAACAGTGTGGACTGACTATGGCAGGTGGGAGTGTGGATCTCTGGCTCCAATTGTGCTATTGGAGACCCTTGAATTCCTCTCTGTTAGACAGGGTTTTCACTGCCTATGACAATTTGGTTGGAACCTGTGTCTGGGGCTGTCCACTTGTGGACATTCTGAGGTTGAACTTTGAAGTTCTGTAGTGGAAAAGAACTGAAGGGTGGGGGCTGGGCACTACAGCCATTTGTATCTCTTCATAGTTGAGATTTAAACCTAATACTGTGGTTTCTTAGGATAGGGTAGAGGTTGGCTGATGTCAAAACAGAGCTAACTTGTGTTATCTCACCACGTAAGTCCTCACAGTCTCTGGCTAAAATTCTGAAAAGAGCATTTCTAAGTTTGTAGTAGATAAGCCACAATTACAAAGCCTAGCGCTTTGGTAAGGGGCTATCTCTACTACCTGAGAATCCCAATTCAATCTCACCCTATCAGTTCTAATAACCAAACAGTTGAAAATAAACATGGTGCAGACCCAACAAAAGAACTCTGGCAACATGATAACCAGACTAGATGAACCCCTCAAGAAAAGACAAAGGAGTTACAACTAAAGATGCCATACATACACAAATGGCAGCAATGTCAGAAATCAAATTCGGAATATGGATGACAAATAAGATACATAGAATGGAAGAAAGATAGAAATTGAATTCCAAAGAGTAGTTCTAAAGTTGTCTCAAGAAATTAATGAATTCAAAGCCCAAGTCACCAAAGATATGGACATAATGAGAAAAGAGATTCCAGAGCTCAAGGAAATGAAAAAGTTAGCTGAGGAGCTCTGAAATATAGTAGAATCCCTCAGTAATAGAGTTGACCAGGCAGAAGAAAGGCGCTCTGAAACTGAAGAGAAAGCTTTGGAACGTTCCCAAACACTCAAAGAGGCAGAAAAATGGAGCACAAAAACTGATCATTCCCTGAGAGAGCTCTGGGATCACTCCAAAAGATCAAACATTTGTCTTATAGGAATTACCAAGGAAGAAGATGGTCCTAGAGGTATAGATGTTCTACTCCAAGAGATTTCTGAGGAGAATTTCCCAGCATTGCAAGAGATACAGAACTTCAGATAGCAGACAGTTTCAGAACCTCAGCAAGACTCAATTCAAATAAAGCATCTCCTAGACACATTGTGATTAATTTTGCCAAAGTTAAGACTAAAGAGAAAATTCTACAAGTAGCCAGACGTAAGAAAGCATCACCTACAAAGAGAGAAATACCAGAATGACTCCAGATCTCTTAACTGAAACATTTCAAGCCAGAAGAAGATGGTAATCAACCTTCAATCTCCTAAAACAAAACAACTTCCAGCCCAGGATCCTTTATCCAGCCAAACTGGGTTTCATTTGTGACGGAGAAATCAAATACTTTAATGCTATAGACATGTTGAAGAAATTTGCCATAACTAAACCAGCTGTCAAGGATATTCTCAGACCCATCCTCCATTGACCAGTGCAATGCTGTACCTCCAAAGTAAACTCACCCAGAAATTATTGAACAAAACACAACTTCCACAGTGGTGAAAGGATTAAAAATATCCACTGAATATCCAAAAATCATGACACCCAAAACAAAAGCAGGCTTATCAATTCTCTCAATTAATGTGAACAGTTTAAATTGTCCTCTAAAGAGGCACAGGCTGGCTGACTAGATACTAGATACATACACTCAGACCAGATATCTTCTGTATACAAGAATTTCACCTTACCTTAAAGGATAAAAACAGACTCAGCGTAAAGGGAAAGACTTGTGTAATACAGGCAAATGGAAACCAGAAAAAAGTAGGGGTTACAATTTTAGTAGCAGATACAATTGGCTTTAAAGCAACCAAGATAAAGAAAGATATTTTATATTTGTCAAGGGAAACACCCAACATGAAGCAATTTTGATAATTAATATTTATGCACCCTACCAGAATGCTCCTCAATTCATAAAGCAGACCTTAATGGATATAAACAACTTGATATCATCCTGCAGTATAATAGTTAGAGATTTTAACACCCCTTCGACAATTTTGGATAGATCTTCCAAGAAGAAACTAAACAAAGAAATATTAGACTTAAACCTGACCCTAGAACAAATGGACTTTATAGACCTCTACAGAACATTTCACCCTAATAGAACTGAATATATATTCTTCTCATCAGCCCATGGGTGAGTGGAGGGGGATAAGGGATGGTTATTTGGGGGCACCTCACCTAATGTGCTTGATGTAATGGTACATTTCAAAACTATTAATAAATTAGTATAACTGTGACAGATGTGTTACTTAGTTCAATGTAAGCATTTCACACTGTATATCAAAGCAGTACCCTGAACCCTATAAATGTATCAATGTACAAAGTTATGATTTAATAAAAAATAATTTTTAAAA